AGAAATTGGGTGTCACCAGACAGAAATTAGGCGTCACCAGACAGAAATTGGGTGTCACCAGACAGAAATTAGGTGTCACCAGACAGAAATTAGGCGTCACCAGACAGAAATTAGGCGTCACCAGACAGAAATTGGGTGTCAACAGACAGAAATTAGGTGTCACCAGACAGAAATTAGGCGTCACCAGACAGAAATTAGGCGTCACCTGACAGAAATTAGGCGTCACCAGACAGAAATTAGGCGTCACCAGACAGAAATTAGGCGTCACCACATAGAAATTGGGTGTCACCAGACAGAAATTGGGCGTCACCAGACAGAAATTAGGCGTCACCTGACAGAAATTGGTTGTCACCAGACAGAAATTGGGTGTCACCAGACGGAAATTGGGTGTCACCAGACAGAAATTGGGTGTCACCAGACAGAAATTAGGCGTCACCTGACAGAAATTGGGTGTCACCAGACAGAAATTGGGTGTCACCAGATAAATTGGGTGTCACCAGACAGAAATTAGGTTTCACCTGACAGAAATTAGGCGTCACCTGACAGAAATTGGGTGTCACCAGACAGAAATTGGGTGTCACCACACTGAAATTAGGTGTCACCAGACAGAAATTGGGTGTCACCAGACAGAAATTAGGCGTCACCTGACAGAAATTGGGCGTCACCAGACAGAAATTGGGTGTCACCAGACAGAAATTGGGCGTCACCAGACAGAAATTAGGCGTCACCAGACAGAAATTGGGTGTCACCAGACAGAAATTAGGTGTCACCTGACAGAAATTAGGTGTCACCTGACAGAAATTAGGTGTCAACAGACAGAAATTAGGCGTCACCTGACAGAAATTGGGTGTCACCAGACAGAAATTAGGTGTCACCTGACAGAAATTAGGTGTCACCAGACAGAAATTAGGTGTCACCTGACAGAAATTAAGTGTCACCAGACAAAAATTAGGCGTCACCAGACAGAAATTGGGTGTCACCGGACAGAAATTAGGCGTCACCAGACAGAAATTAGGTGTCACCAGACAGAAAGTGGATGATTTCATAAAATAAATGTGACAAATGTTACTTCTTTTTGTGATGTATGATATAGTTTGGTGAAAAACCGTTGAATTGTATTTTATAAATCACGGTATTCGATGATGATTTACTTAACAACAGGAAATTAAGCAATCGGGCAAAGAAATTACGATGATGTTGATCTGTAAATTTATCTTCTACTCCCACATTGAGAAATTGTTTACAAGAAGAGTTAACACAGATGTAGAGATCCTTTCAATTCACAAACTCTTCTGGTTTTGTTTATTTTCCTCATTTTGCTGTTATATCAAAAGTAAATTGAACAGACTTTTAAACATGTGTCTGTACTCTTTCTCGCATTCATCACTAACCGGGCGTGGTGAAGTTATATCGTAAGACAGCACAAGGGAAAGTTAGAATTTTATCTGAAAGAGAAATTGACTAGTACACCATATAGGTAGATTTCTAATTTCTGCTCGCGCTAGGATTTGTGATACGTCATGACGTGAGAGAGTCAATCGTATGAGCGTGCGGGGAAATAGATAATTATTCCTTGAGGCTCCATTAAGGGTACACCCTACCTATAAAGGATAAAAAAATGGACAATAGTGATATGGCAATTCCAACACCTTGCAATACACAATTGTTAGATTATATTCAATTTTTATCTTGTTGTAAAGCTTAACTTAATAGTATTTTATGAATATTTTTATCACAACTAATAATTTTATACATGAATACAAAGGATTTATTTGTAAAAATATCTAACATTATGATGTCTGTTATAACGGAATCAATATTCTTCACCATCTGTGTTGTTCAAAGGTAATTTGACTAGACCAGTGGTCAGTGAAAGATTCAAATTATTGCCAATGAAGAAAGACAGGGCAAAGTTAACACCAAAACAATCAATGCTCTGATATGTTAAAGAAGGTTGCAGATTTTGTTTCATTAATATTTGAAATTTTTCTCTAAATCCTGGATACCTGTTTCCAGCCTCTGGACGAACAAGGCCTGTGGTATATTTGCTTTCTCTTATCTTTGAGTTCTGATAGTTTACACACAACAACAAGATAACACACTAGTATCAAAATTCAAACTAATTTGTTTAAAGTACAAAGCTTTCACGTTTTTTCCTCTCATATTCATATTGTTTGTGTTTTGCCTGTGTTAAATAAACTATATGGAATAAAAATGTACAAATGATGAACGTAATTACAGTCTATTATACCACGTAACTGGAAGTGTATCCTTTTTCGGGAACCAAACGAGGGCTGTTATGTTGTGCCGTTCGAGAAACACTTGGCCATATACACCACTTTACCCTTTACCAGAAAAAGAAAACTGACTGTGACAGTCTGATTTAAGAGAACTGACTGTGACAGTCTGACTGTGGAGAACTCACTGTGACTGTCTGATTTTAGAGAACTGACTGTGACAGTCTGATTTTAGAGAACTGACTGTGACTGTCTGACTGTGGCGAACTGACTGTGACAGTCTGATTTTAGAGAACTGGCTGTGACAGTCTGATTTAAGAGAACTGACTGTGACAGTCTGACTGTAGAGAACTGACTGTGACTGTCTGATTTTAGAGAACTGACTGTGACAGTCTGATTTTAGAGAACTGGCTGTGACAGTCTGATTTTAGAGAACTGACTGTGACAGTCTGACTGTGGAGAACTGACTGTGACTGTCTGATTTTAGAGAACTGACTGTGACAGTCTGATTTAAGAGAACTGACTGTGACAGTCTGATTTTAGAGAACTGACTGTGACAGTCTGACTGTGGAGAACTGACTGTGACAGTTTGATTTTAGAGAACTGACTGTGACAGTCTGATTTAAGAGAACTGACTGTGACAGTCTGATTTTAGAGAACTGACTGTGACAGTCTGATTTAAGAGAACTTACTATGACAGTCTGACTGTGGAGAACTGACTGTGACAGTCTGATTTTAGAGAACTGGCTGTGACAGTCTTATTTAAGAGAACTGACTGTGACAGTCTGACTGTAGAGAACTGACTGTGACAGTCTGATTTTAGAGAACTGACTGTGACAGTCTGATTTTAGAGAACTGGCTGTGACAGTCTGATTTTAGAGAACTGACTGTGACAGTCTGACTGTGGAGAACTGACTGTGACTGTCTGATTTTAGAGAACTGACTGTGACAGTCTGATTTTAGAGAACTGACTGTGACTGTCTGACTGTGGCGAACTGACTGTGACAGTCTGATTTTAGAGAACTGAGTGTGACAGTCTGACTGTGGAGAACTAACTGTGACAGTCTGATTTTAGAGAACTGACTGTGACAGTCTGACTGTAGAGAACTGACTGTGACAGTCTGATTTTAGAGAACTGACTGTGACAGTCTGATTTTAGAGAACTGACTGTGACAGTGTGACTGTAGAGAACTGACTGTGATAGTCTGACTGTGGAGAACTGACTGTGACTGTCTGATTTTAGAGAACTGACTGTGACTGTCTGATTTTAGAGAACTGACTGTGACTGTCTGACTGTAGAGAACTGACTGTGATAGTCTGACTGTAGAGAACTGACTGTGACAGTCTGACTGTAGAGAACTGACTGTGACAGTCTGATTTTAGAGAACTGACTGTGACTGTCTGACTGTGGAGACCTGACTGTGACAGTCTGACTGTAGAGAACTGACTGTGGCTGTCTGATTTTAGAGAACTGACTGTAGAGAACTGACTGTGACAGTCTGATTTAAGAGACCTGACTGTGACAGTCTGACTGTAGAGAACTGGCTGTGACTGTCTGATTTTAGAGAACTGACTGTAGAGAACTGACTGTGACAGTCTGACTGTAGAGAACTGACTGTGACAGTCTGACTTTGGAGAACTGACTGTGACAGTCTGATTTTAAAGAGAACTGACTGTGACAGTCTGACTGTGGAGAACTGACTGTGACAGTGTGATTTTAGAGAACTGACTGTGACAGTCTGATTTTAGAGAACTGACTGTGACAGTCTGACTGTGGAGAACTGACTGTGACTGTCTGATTTTAGAGAACTGACTGTGACTGTCTGATTTTAGAGAACAGACTGTGACAGTCTGATTTTAGAGAACTGAGTGTGACAGTCTGATTTTAGAGAACTGAGTGTGACAGTCTGATTTTAGAGAACTGACTGTGACTGTCTGATTGTGGCAAACTGACTGTGATAGTCTGATTTTAGAGAACTGACTGTGAATAAATTTTGTCGATTCATCAAGCTATATTTAACAACGAAATGATGCATCCACGAAAAAGTGATTTTTTCAAAACCTCGAAAATGTAGTCACACGAAATTTCGTACTGTTTACGATTCTATTTTTAAAAATAACAACAATGAAAATAATGAAATACCAACATGATCTTAATTCGATTAAACTATGAGAAAATAAGAAGAAAAAAGACATACTGAGACCTCTGGATGTTCCGGAAGGGTAAACGTCTCATGCTTCATCGACGACAACCGCAATTTGTGAACTTCAGGTTAAAATAATTGTAACACAGGAAAATGGTCGTCCTATGAATACGGACAGGATTCAGACAGTGTGTAGACACTGTTCCTATTTTATATCTGATAAAACAAATCTAACCGTCAAACGATTCAAATTTCAAATTACGAAAAAAAAAAAAAAAAAACTGCAAGCCATGTCAAACATCATTGAAAGATCATTGAAAACGATGCAAAATGAAACTCATGGATTTTTACATAAATGAAACATTAAATAATTTTGACAGATATTTTCTGAGACCGCAGTGAGTTATTTATAGTAACCGCTGATAATATACCCTAGTTACTTCAATATTTTGAAAAATGAAATTAGCAAAAATGGCATTAATCTATTTTAAAACCGTGTATACAGTTAAAACGTTTTTAACTCTCATTGTAGTACGGACACAATATGTTTTAGATACACGTTCTAAACGTCCCCCAATATTATTCATTACCAAATAACAAAAAAAAAAAATCTTGTAGATAAAATTAAATGCCTTCTTTAATGGAATCGTGCAATAGATTGAAGTAATACAGTGGGATAAGCAACTGTTGCACACCATAGAACTCGCACGTTGCGAGTTAAAGCAGAAGTCATGTGATATAAATAGGACTAGACACGCCATATTCCCAAGGTTACCAATTTGGAATCTGGAACGTACCACTTTCTGTGTATGTTGGTTGTTGTGTTTGGACTTGAATGTTATCGGAACATCAAATGGTGAAAGTCTGTTAAAGAATATTCCAAAGTCTGGTACGCTTGAGATGACCAGTAAGTATCTCGCTTTAAAAAATCAGTGCAGCAGGAGTGGTTTAAAATATGCCCAAAAAGATATAATCCCATACGAAATTTTCCTATACGACAAGAAAAAAATATTAAAACTCTTCCAAACGAAATAAAAAGTCGGATACAAATATATAGTTATATGCCTGTGAGGCTACATAGGGTTGTTTGTACATGTTAAGCGTTTGTCTGAAATCTTTTCGTTTCCAGTCCAATTGATTCTGACCTCCGCTAAGTGGTATAGCGATTTTTCTGGAGTACACGGTAATTACAGAGGAAACCTTTTTGTTTGTTCTTTCCTCGAAGTAACAATTATGTGATGCAATATACATCGCAGGTTTCAAAGCGTTAATATAAACAAGAACTACACAATTATCCTATGAGAGCTTGTATTATGTTCTCGGAATTGTTTATAAGAATGTTCCAAACATAGAAAACCTCAGCGCCGACGGTACATCCCTCATTGTGCAAATTCTAAGATTCGTGTAAATCCTGCGAATTCCAGAGTCATATATAGTCAATGATTAAATCGAACGCGCCGGAAGTTCAATTGAAAATGGCGGTCATATCTTTAATTTTGGAAGCCAATGAATATTTCAGATCACAAGCGATTTCGATGGTATATGTAGTTAGTGGAAGACATCACACACACGAAAAAAAAACAAAACAGTAACATATCCTGGCATAATAGGGATTAACCCCCTCGTCTTAAAACAAGAACACAACAGGAAAATACCAACATGTCAAACGATTTATAATACAAACTGAAATTCAATAAAACCAGAGCGAAATAAAAACAAAGGAAATATTTGCTTCATCGACGACGCTTGCCGTATAAACCTCGGTCAATCCAAGTAAGTAATTTAAGGTTCCCAAGTAAGAACAAGGTATACAACAACAGAACCAACAGACAAACTAACTAGCATTAAACACGTCCTACCTAAGTAAGTAATGTCATGTTCTCAAAGGACAACAACACGGAACCAACAGGCAAATTAAGCACGTCCAGTTTCATAACAAATATATCCCGTAATAAGATCACTGTGACAACTGTACAACTTCCCCATAAGACGTTTGATAGCGTTTATGTTGTAACACTATGCTATGTTGATTTCTTTTTCGTTTTGTCAATTTGTTTCAGAGTTCGATTTTTGCTGAAATGCTTTTTAAAACACCTGATGAATATTACGGGAAGAATAAATCGGCCAGCCATAATCAATGATGAATTAAATTAATATGGCATATTTACACATTTGTTATATTCCAAACATACTGATGTCCATCTGCGTATTTATCCTATATCTGCCTTCATTTCTCTCACCATTCATATGACACCCCCACCCCACCCCCTTATCATTCTTATCTTTCCCCTACATTCTGTTGCTTCCTTCACCCTTCTCTCCCTCAACCTTATCTCACAACTCTTGCTCCCATCTTTGTTTGTGATGATAACAACATCCTATTCCAACATTAAGCCTCATGCTGTATTCCCCGATCGACCTTGGAACACGTGAAGGTCGTTTGTAGAGTGCAGCATAAACATACCCGCACACGTCTATAGACTAGGGACAGTGCCTTGAGCTTTCATTCGCGAATCTTCCTGTCCTAACAGCATCTTTCGGCCTATATCCTCCTCCTTAGAACCGTCCTATATCCTCCTCCCTTAGAACCGTCCTATATCTTCCTCCCTTAGAACCGTCCTATTCCTCCTCCCTTAGAACCGTCCTATATCTTCCTCCCTTAGAACCGTCCTATTCCTCCTCCTTAGAACCGTCCTATATCTTCCTCCCTTAGAACCGTCCTATATCCTCCTCCTTAGAACCGTCCTATATCCTCCTCCTTAGAACCGTCCTATATCCTCCTCCCTTAGAACTGTCCTATATCCTCATCCCTTGGAAGAACTACACCCCTGTAAATATAAGAGAAGCGCAGGATCTTACGTAATGCCTTTTATTCAATCCCGACAAATCATTGTAATAACATTAAAGTTTGTTTATCAAGGAGATAAAACCTGATTTAGCCAAAGACATCTCTCCGTCAAGGTCCTCAAGGATTGTATAATTTGTTAGGTTCATAAGAATATTCAGACATTAAAAATTTCTGAAATATTAAATATTATCCTCAAGGATTGTAAAATTTGTCAGGTAAAAATATTCAGACATTCAAAATTTCTGAAATATTAAATATTACATAGATAAAGGAATACTGTACTCATAACACATGATAAAAGACTAAAAATCTATTACATACAATAATATCAAATACCCTAATGGTCTCAGAAAGATATTTATGAATACTGACCGAGTTAAATGGCCGAAGCCTCATATACATAAATTCTAATATAGCAAAGACATTAACACGTCAGAAGACATGCTGATAAAAACTAACTTGCCTTGTTATTGTTGTGTGCCAATGCTTTGTTTATCGACAATAGGTGAGGGATGTATGTGTTCATCATGTTATATATCTAAAACACAACAGACCAGTTATTTGCTAAATGTACTTTAATTATCAGCGAACTGATATCTAACACTGCGTATCGTGTATTTTCGTGGGTTGTATTACAGCTGTATTGAGTCCACTAATGAAGTCTCAGTTTCTAAGTTTCACCATTACTCAAAATAAAAACACTGTTAATTTCAGAGTGAAATTCTTCGCCGCCGAATGCCATCCCAGCGTTTACGTATATATCTATAAATCTCGGTAAACTGCACTGTAGTGTAATAGACAAAATTGTTTTGTACAGGAAACCTAACGATCTTTGTTGCCAGTAAAGTTTCCGTTATAACAACCAGGTCGTAAACGTTTGCCAATGCCAGTAAAATTTGACCATTTGATGACGTCAAATTCAGACCAGATTTCGTTTCTTGAGAATTCTCTGCTTGAGTTCTATTCACCAATACGAAGGTATTTGGCATGTCTTCATTTCCTTCAATTACAAATTTACAGCTTGATTGACCGTATTTCCCCTACTAAGAACGTTAACATGAAAATATTCCAGGCCCTGTAACTGATATATTACTGTTTCCCAGAAAGATATCCACATCTTGCAGATAAATTAGAGAGATGTATATTGCCGGAGAACACGTAGAAGTTTTGCGTCCTTATTCTGCTCAGGAAATGTGTAAGTGGACATATTTGATGCTCGTTAGTTTGCTTAGTGGTTAATTCGTTGCTATCCTTGTTCTCATTTAAGAACGTGACATTACTTACATGGACTGACCAAGATTTTATACAACAGATGTCGTCGATGAAAAACAAGACGTTTACACTGACGAAACTTTCAGGGTCTATGAAAACCTTTCTTTTGTTCAGATTTTGCTTCCCTTAAATCGAATTTGGGTTAACAACAAATATTTAGTTGAAGTCTCCGTTTTCTTTTTCTCTCGTCGGTTAAGTTTTTTTTCGACAGAACGGTATCAGTGTCAGAACATGTTTTCTGTATAAACATATAAACATGATAAAGACCCTCTTCACGAAGCCGTCGTCAATGTCCAGAAGATAGGACGAAATAATTATCCTTTCATTTCATGATCGTAAGACTATTTTTTTGTTCTCTCTTCTGAATAAACATTCTTTATCCTGATACCTTCAATACCGTTAATGATCACACCATATCGGAGGAAAATTATTTTGAAATTTAAACGTGAGTTGTTTTTTTTATAAATGACTTTGCTGGTAAAAGAAAACTGCTCACATTTTTGCTGTGGTTTGTATGAGTATTGTTTAAGGATTTTATCAGTCAACAGCCAAAGTCAAACTTTGAAGAATGGTCTCCTTGTAGTTGCTGGTTGTGATGGCAACATCGGTAAAGATAACGTGGGATGCCTGTGGCAAGTTTTACATATAAGATAAAGCGTCTCACCCAGTGACTGAGACACACAAATCAACCCGTGTAAGGATCGATCCACTGGATTTTTTTTTTTATCTCCATCTTAATTTTCTACCAATCCTCGCGTCTCCCATAAGGTTTGTCTTTTAAGAATATTGGACTCGCGGAAAAGTTCCAAAAGTGACTGTCCGAACTTGTACATTATTCTGATAGCATTATTTTTCTATGATTTTGAAAATGTGAAGTTTGCTGCAACACAGGGATGCAGCTGTGGTTTGGTTATTACGCCAGATTGCGCCACATACACCGGGTTGTTACGTGAAGCTCGATCAACAGCAGTAAGGAGCAGTTGAATCTCTGACTCCATGACTCATCACAGCGCCACCTGACCGAGCTCTGATAGCGCCATCTGCCGGTGTCTTGTGTTGGCAAACAAAGTAAACAGCCGATGTTTTTATTGTTTTGCACCCGGGTATGATCTAATTTAAGTAAGAGAAGAATACATAAAGTGGCGAGGCGGGGGGAGGGGGGGGGGGCTTGGGCTTGGATAACATACATTTCAGATTTAGTAGTATTCTAAAGTGACTTTATTCGATTGTATAGTAATCCATATCTACACATTGACGGCATTTTGTCAACTTTTTCATTTTGAAGTATTGAAAACGATGGCTAAAATTTTTTGCGACTCTTTAAGTACGTATCTTCATACATTCTCATAAAGATAGGATCACACAAAAGTAAATATTCTGTCAGTTAAAGCTCATATTCCACATTTTTGTTTCGACGTTGGCAAAATATGTTGACTATTTATTTTAAACATCGGCGGCTTAATGTTGTTGACATAAAACGGTAGTGTTCGTACATCTCGACACTTCAATCCAATCGTTTTGGATGCTGCGTCATGCCTCCCGCCTGTCATTCATTAAGTGACTGCTACAATGTGATGACCTCAAAACGACCTTGACTGATTACGGTGTGATAAACCAAATAGACTCAACATCTGTCACTGACTTTTACAGGAACTCCGTACTGATTCATGTAGTGTTGACAAACTTCAATTTAGTATAAGGAAAACAAAATGCCCATGGTCCTAACCGGTCATTTGACTAGTCTCAGCAGAACTTAGAATGAAAAGGGCCATAATTCTGTAAATTACGATCGAACCAGCCCCATTGTCGAACGCATCCGAGATCTTATGATATAAGACCGGATGCCGATTTTCAACAAATTCGGTATATATTAAACCAGGTTATTGTGTTCATCAGAAAAAAGGAGTTTACGCACTGCGGACGACGACAGACGGAGACCGATCACAGTAAGTCGCCATGGCATATGGATAGGTGACTTAAAAAACTATCAGGACCGAAAAACAATTTAAGTGTTCGCTTTAAAAAACAAATTTTAAAACAATTCAAAGTGATTGAAACATTGATAATGTGTGTTAATATAACATTAAATTATATACAGATGTAAAAATAAATAAACTGAGATAGCTGTTGTCTTTGACACGAAAAAAATAATCATTAAAAGACAAAAAAAAATTAAAATTGTATCATTCTGATATATATACATATGAATGTATTATATCTAAACTATCACTTTGGGGGCTATAGCGTTATCGTGTAATATACGGAGAAATCTTGTAAAAGCCATATAGTTATCTCTGGCATGTGATGTCTGTTTGATATGTTTAGTGCATACTGTAGCTACCGCCGCCAAGTCTCCTCACTGGAAGTTGTATCAAACCGTTTATATTTTATAAATTCACGTTAGGAGTCTATAAACACCAGAAATATCTTGGCAACATCATCAGGATGATAAAAGACCTGTTCGACATCTTCAATTATATGTGTATTATATTAATACAGCAAACATTCACAGTGTTAAAAAACGGTCGACATGTGAAAATCGTCCCTAAAATAGCCAGTCAGCCACTAGACTGCACGTCACAACCTCTCAAACAGTTAACATGCCTCACACACGTCATAGGTGAAGGGCATCCCTCTATATATAGACACAACAATATAGTTGTTTGTATTACTCACGAAAATTTGTACTTAGTAATTGTTGATATCCTACTTCAGTGTGACTCAGTAACTATAGGCCAAGTGTTCACACATTCTGTAGCATCAAGTCATGATCTTACTGTAGCTGTCAAATGATCAACGTTTGGATGTTTTTCTCCACTTTCTTAATTTCATTTCGATGTATGAGAATCTCTTTACATTCTCGATCCTGCTTTCTTTAAATGAATATCTATTAATAGAAATGTACTTTTAGTTCTTTTCTAAAGTTATATTTGGTATCGTCGACTCTGTCGTTGATCTCTGTTTACAGCGGTCTATTTGGTTTTGTAGATAATAATTGTATTGACTTCCACGTTACCTTTTTAACACTGAATACGCCAAGATTTTTTTGACGTATTTTTGTATGAGGTAATTCATTTGTGGATGGACATATTTTGTCATGTTCCTAATTTCATGAAACTGTATGAAATATGTTAGAGAATTACTATCGCAACAGCTGCTATTTAATCTGCATCCGACAAACGCGTATGTGCTTCCCCGATTGCTTATCAGATTAAGAATAGTTATATATGTCATTTGATCTGCATCAGAAATACGTTGGCTACTACCATCTGACCGATCCGTCTGTCAGATAGTACATCACTAAATCTATATCCTTGTAAAGCTTGTATCAAACACACCAAGAATAATATAAATGTTTGTATTGAGCTGTTATGTACATCTTTGTTTGATAGAGACGTGTCATGGTGTTATGTAAGTGTGTTTGATAGAGACGTGTCATGATGTTATGTAAGTTTGTTTGATAGAGACGTGTCATGGTGTTATGTAAGTTTGTTTGATAGAGACGAGTCATGGTGTTATGTAAGTTTGTTTGATAGAGACGTGTCATGGTGTTATGTACGTCTTTGTTTGATAGAGACGTGTCATGGTGTTATGTAAGTGTGTTTGATAGAGACGTGTCATGGTGTTATGTACGTCTTTGTTTGATAGAGACGTGTCATGGTGTTATGTATGGTTGTTTGATAGAGACGTGTCATGGTGTTATGTAAG